GATTCAATTCTCCAGGAGGTGGGACCGGCCATTGCAGCGCAGGGCAGAAAAAAGGGAACAGCAGCTCTTTTCTACCAGTATAAAAAGTCTGGAAGGTTTGGCTTCAGGTGTAGTTGTTGGGGCAGCCTGGGCACTTCTTGGGCAGCAAGACCTTTCTTTGGTCGCACCTTTTGTCTGGCAGGAATCTTCTGCTGGATTCTATTTTTCAGGAGGTAGGATCGGCCATTGCAGAGCAGGGCAGAAAAAAGGGAAAAGCAGCTCTTTCCACCACGAAAAGAAGTCTCGAAGCTTTAGCTTTGAGGTGCAGTTGTTGGGGCAGCCTGCTAACTTCTTGAGCAGGAAGACCTTTTTGTGGTGGAACCTTTAGTCTGGCAGCAATCTTCATTTAGAGTAAATTTTGCAGGAGGTGGGACAAAGCATTGCAGCCCAGGGCAGAAAAAAGGGAACAGCAGGTCTTTTCTACCAGTAAAAAAAGTCTGGAAGGTTTGGCTTCAGGTGTAGTTGTTGGGACAGCCTGGGCACTTCTTGGGCAGCAAGACCTTTCTGTGGTCGCACCTTTTGTCTGGCAGGAATCTTCAGCTGGATTCTATTTTTCAGGAGGTAGNAAAGGTGCCACCACAGAAAAATCTTCCTGCTCAAAAAGTGCCCAGGCTGCCCAAAACTGCACCTCAAAGCCAAAGCCTCCAGACTTTTTTCCTGGTGGAAAGAGCTGCTGTTCCCTTTTTTCTGCCCTGCGCTGCAATGGCCGATCCCTCCTCCTGGAAAATTTACTGTAACTGAAGATTCCTGCCAGACAAAAGGTGCTACCACAGAAAAATCTCCCTGCTCAAGAAGTGCCAATCCTGCCCAAAACTGCACCTCAAAGCCAAAGCTTCCAGACTTTTTTTCCTGGTGTAAAGAGCTTCTTTTTCCTTTTTTTCAACCCTGCGCTGCAATGGTTGGTCCCACCTCCTGAAAATTTACTCCAAATGAAGATTCCTGCCAGACAAAAGGTGCCACCACAGAAAACTCTTCCGAGCCAAGCAGTGCCCACGCTGCCCCAACGAACTACACCTCAAAGCCAAAGCTTCCAGAGTTTTTTTCCTGGTGGAAAAAGCTGCTGTTCCCTTTTTTCAGGCCTTCGCTGCAACATCTGGTCCCACCTCCTGAAAAATTTATTATAAATGAAGATTCCTGCCATACAAAAGCTGCCACCACAGAAAAATCTTCCTGCCCAAAAACTGCCCAGGCTGCACAAACTACACCTGAAGTCAAAACTTCCAGACTTTTTTTCCTGGTGTAAAGAGCTTCTGTTACCTTTTTTCAGGCCTGCGCTGCAACATCCCGTCGGTTCTCCTGGAAAATTTATTCTAAATGAAGATTCCTGCCAGACTAAAGGTGCCACCACAGAAAAATCTTCCTACCCAAGAACTGCCCATGCTGCACAAACTACACCTGAAGTCAAAGCTTCCAGACTTTTTTTCCTGGTGGAAAGAGCTGCTGTTCCCTTTTTTGAGGCCTGCGCTGCAACATCCGGTCCCTCCTCCTAGAAAATTTATTCTAAATGAAGATTCCTGCAAGACTAAATGTGCCACCACAGAAAAATCTTCCTGCTCAAGAAGTGCCCAGGCTGCCCAAAACTGCACCTCAAAGCCAAAGCCTCCAGACTTTTTTTCCTGGTAGAAAGAGCTGCTGTTCCCTTTTTTCTGCCCTGTGCGGCAATGGTCAGTTCCACCTTTTAAAAAATTGAAAACAAATGAAAATTCCTGACAGACAAAAGGTGCCACAAGAGAAAGGTCTTGCTGCCCAAGAAGTGCCCATGCTGCCCCAACAACTCCACGTGAAGTCAAAGCTTCCAGACTTTTTTTCCTGGTGGAAAGAGATGCTGTTCCCTTTTTTCAGGTCTGTGCTGCAATGGCCGATCCCACCTCCAGAAATATTTACTCTAAATGAAGATTCCTGCCAGACTAAAGGTGCCACCACAGAAAACTTTTTCTGCTCGAGAAGTGCCCAGGCTGTCCCAAAACTGCACCTCAAACCAAAGCTTCCAGACTTTTTTTCCTGGTAGAAAGAGCTGCTGTTCCCTTTTTTC